GAGCCCTCCAGTGCCCCTCAGTGCCCCCCAGTGCCCCCAGTGCCCTCAGAGCCCCCAGCACTCCCAGAGCCCCCAGCCCCTGCCTGGGGCTCCCAGCCACTCGCCACTTCCCTGGGGCACCACCTCGGGCCTGGGGGTCTCTTGTCCAGAGAAGGGCAGGGAGCTGGGGAAGGGGCTGGGGCACAAGTGTGAGCAGGAGCAGCTGAGGGAGCTGGGGGTTCAGCCTGGAGACCAGGAGGTGAGGGGAGACCTGCTGGCTCTGCAGCTGCTGAGGGGAGGTTGGAGCCAGGGGGGTCGGGCTCTGCTCCCCAGGAACAAGGGATACAAGAGGAAACAGCCTCCAGTTGTGCCAGGGGAGGTTTAGATTGGATATTTAAGAACAAATTCTTCCCTGAAAGGGTTGTCAGGGCACGGGGGGAGTCCCCATCCCTGGAGGGGTTTCAAAGCCCTGGAGATGGTGTTGAGGGACACGGGGCAGGGGTGGCCTTGGCAGGGCTGGGTTGATGGTTGGACTTGATGGTCTTAAAAGTCTTTTTCAATATAACAGGTTCTAGGATTCTGTGCTGCAGGTTGTGGTCCCACCCATCCCTCAGGGTGGGGGCTCCAGCACCACTGAGAGCACGGGAAGCAGCTCCATGGAAAGACCTTGGCCTTGACCAGGACACCCTGTGGTGGCTCCCAAAGGCAGTTCAGGAACAGAAGGGAGCCTGGGAAGACCTGACCATGGCACGAGGTGGAGAAGGAATTGGAGTCTGGGTACCAAGAGCTGCTCTTTGTGAGCTGGGGAAGCAGAACTGGAGGAAACTCAACACAACAGACAAAGCTTTCTTCACAATCACCATTGAGCTGGTGAGTGGGACCCAGTCAGCTGGTTCCTGCAGGAGGAGGAACACACTGGAGCAAAGGGAGGGGAGGACTGGGAGAAACTCTGGCCCTCTTTGGTCCAGAAGAACTTTTGCTCCAATCCTCAGTAGATGAGTGTTTTTCCTTCAGCAGCTGGGTGGCATCTCGTAGGAAGGGATTTCTCTTGACTGCTGGACAGACCAACCTGTTTCAGTGTCAGGACACTGCTCCTGGTGCTCTGCACACCTTTTCCTCTTTCCACTTGCTCAGTTTCATCAGGTCATAAATTATACAAAGTATTCTCACAGATTTTTAGTGTGGAGTTAAAAGTTGCTCTCTGGGTGCCTTTTTTACCATGCTTGTCTGTGGCAAATATCTTTGCTTACATGGAAGTACAACCTGAAGAAATAAATCACTAGGTCTCTTTGTTTTTGTGATACCACTTAATGCTGCCTGAAGCTGTTTATCTCCTTCTGTTTTCTCCTGTTTCCCTTACTCTGCAACGCATCACCCTTACAGGTAGGTCCCTGCGGGATGAAAAGCATCACTTCTTACTGTGGTGACTGTGGCTGTGCTCAACTTCCTCATCACTGCAGCCTTTCCAGCTCTTCTGTGCCCCTTCTCTGCAGGTGATGTGACAACCTTCACAGACAGAGGAGTTGTCTGACTGTACAAAATGCATATTCCAATTATTTTTAAAAATTAAAAATACCACTTCCTGACCCAAACGCTCAGGGGGTTCCCATGCAGTATCTGGTGTGGGTGAGGAATGCACTGATTTATATTTTTATTTTTTTTCCTGCCTGGAGGCTGAGGTGAGCCTGGGTTGAGTTTGGATTTGATTCCTGTTCTAGGTCATCTGGTGCGTGTGGTGGCCAGCATGGAGCAGCCCCTCTCAGCCCTTGGGGTTGGCTGAAACATGGTGCCATGTCCCCAGGTGGGCAAAATGCTGTTCCAGGCATTTGCGTGTCTGGTGTCCATCCTGAAGAAACGTGTACATTCTGTCCTTGTCAGTCTTCTGCTCTTCCAGTGTTCATTTGGCCAGCCAGCATGTTTCTCCATGGACATGTTCTTCATGTGTTGATCAGCTCTGTGGCCAAAGCTGCCTCTTGCCTCCCCCAGAGGCAGGAGGTTTCCCCTTGCTGCTGGTGTGAGGTGACCATGGACAGGAGCAGTGCACAGGGTCTGGCACCTTCTCTAAGAAAACATTTGCTGTTCTCCATGAAGGGCTCCTCTTGCTTTCTGATGTTACACAGTCAGCTCAGAAGTGAGAATAACATCATTTCCCAACACCTTTTTTAAGGAAGGAGCTGTGATGGGTCTGACGGAGGAGTGACAGAGCATTCCCAAATGCGGGAAGGGGGAGTGTGTATGGGTGTGCACCACCTGCGTGCATTGGCTGGTGGCACATCTTAAGGCACAGGGACATTGAGCTGTTCCAGGGCTGGGTCTAGATGTCCCAGCTTTTCCCATTCCATGTGTGGGGTATGAAGCAGCTGCCTGTGGCAATTGCTTTGTGACTGGAGGCAAGTCCTTACTTTCAGAGTTGTATGTAACTTAAATGTGAGCATCTCCTTTTAGATACATAAATAATTTTCTCGGTGCTTAATTAAGGCCTTGAGGGTTGGATATCCAGTGGGGCTTAAGAGATAACTACTCTCAATGGGAGCTGTTGTGAACACGAAATGGTGTGGAATAACTGTGACCCAGAAAAGTCAGATCACAACTATCTCAAGTTATGCAACAGTCATATCATGTTGGGTGGGTTTGAGCTCATTCTCTTCTGACTCTTACCTGCCCCCAAACATGCCCCACGTTCCCCTAAAGGGCAACAGTGTGGGTGAGGACATCCCTGACACCATTCCCACCCACCCTCACCTATCCCTTGGGAGCACCAGCGGGCTTTGCAGGAGGAGGCTGGAACCAGCAGGGACAGGACACCTGCTCCCTCTCCTTTCTGGCTGAAGAGGAGCCCACGGGCTGTCACCCCAGTGCTCTGCCACCTGCTCTGCCTGAGCCCAGGGCACTTCTGATCCCTCCATAAGTGCTTGATATGCTACTTGGGGTGAGCCAAACCCTCCCAGCCGTGAGAAATAAAATGCCCTTTTCTTTTCCTTAAAAACCTGCTGGTCGCCCTTGCTGCGCTTTATTGAAGTTTTTAGGGTTTGGGGTTTGGTTGGTTGGTTTGCTGTGAAGTTTGAGAACTTCGCAGAAAATTGTGAAACGTTTACCCCAACACACCCTGCTGGACAGGAAGGCATCGGCACCTCCCAGTGTGCACCAGAAGGAACCAGTACGTGCAGGAGGTGCTGCTACTCCACCCCCTCTGTGCTGTGCAGGCTACACCAAAGCAACACCTGCAGAAAGAAGCAGGAACTCAGGCAGATCCAGCTGCTTCATGGGGCACTAACACCACCAGGTGCTGCAACTCACGAGGATCAACCTGCAGTACGATGCAGATGACGTATCTGAATGGCACCCATCACCTGGAGGAGGGCACAGAGCCTCCCAGTGACGAGACAGAGCATCTCCTGTGCTGCTGAAGTGCCCTGGGCAGCTCTGCTCTGGGTACCTGTGGAAATCATTGTTGGCTGTTTGCTTTTAATATAGAATGTTGCAGGCAGCTGAAGGTCCAGACAGCAGAGTGACTGCCATTTGCCCTTCTCCAGATTCACCCTCAATTTTAGTCTGTGGCTGCTGCAATGGTGAAGATTCCTGCT